GGAATTCAGGCAGGCGCTGTCTGCCGTGTGTCTCCTGGTTTGGACCAGCATGAGGGGGGGTTGGGGGGAAAAAACCCGAAACAACTGTTTTGTGAGGTTTGTTCAGCTTCGTACAAGTTGCCTGCTGCTAACGGCCGGGGATTACTTCTCCCCTGTACAAGGTGGATTTTTCTCTCGGAGTCAGCCATCCCGCCGTCTGTATACAATAGGCAGAGCTATACATATTTCTTTTCTGGGCTATTCTGAAGCAAGATATTTTTTATGTGCGTTTGAAAGTGACAGGGCTTAGACCATGCTATTTTTTTTGGCCAATACGTTTAAAATATACATGGTGTATCAGTAGATGCAGACAGTTGTTTTTCAGCAGAGGCGTAAGGCTTGTGCTAGCAATTTAAAAAATGGTGCACATCATCTGGAAAAATATATATCTAGTTGCTATGATCAGCTAAGTAATATAAGGGCATTTTTATTTGTATATAAATTATACTCTATTTTGTCAATACATATAAGTAACATTAAATTATTGAATAAACAGTAGATAATAACAAAACAACTGAAGGGAAATATTAAATTATGAATTGCAGCTATTTCTATTTATTACTAATATCAGCTATGGCCCTCAGTTTATTTGCACAAAAATTAGGAAAGGCTAAAAGCACAAAGGAAAAGACATCGTCCTGAAACACATGCTCGTTGTTAAGGGTAGGTTGGATGCAGTTGTCTTTGGAGAGGTGAGATGATGACCTAGGTATCACTTTGTCAAGGAAAATCAATTCCCGATGCATCAGAGGAGGGCCTGGCGTTCCTTCTTCCATACTCCCCCTTAGGCTCCTTGGTGCAATGAGTGTATAGTTAACACTTTAAAAAAAAATGGGGGGGAACTTCTAATTGTTAGGAATTTCTGGTCAATTAACTCTAGAAGCACCTATGAACTTCGGGTGTGTACTTCCTTTTTCAATACTGGTCAAGATGATGTTTGACTGTTTCTTAGGATTAAAAAAAAATCTTTTTCCGTATTTATGAAGGTGTTGGCTCAGAAATATAAATAAGAATCTTGTGGCCATACTGGTCTTTCAGGAAGAGATACCTATTAGTGATCTAATAGGCCATGTAGAATACATAACTTTCAGTGCTTACCTAGCTTGTGCAAAAGTCACAATGTATGTATTTTTGCAGGCATCACATATTGGCTTGAATTGGCGATTCTGACTATACAAGGAATGTGTGATTTCTCTGTGTAAAATTAAATTCAAAATAAAAGTGTGTGTGTTTCCCTATCATCGACCTTTATAGTTTATATTTCTGATCTTATGTTGCAGAGTCTGTTGAATGGATTAATATGTTACAAACCTGATGACCCAATAGAATATTTGGAAAGCTGTTTGCAGAAAGTGAAAGAGCTAGGAGGGTCAGAAAAAGTGAAATGGGACACTTTTGTCAGTCCAGAAAAGAGGACTCTCCCTCCACTCAACGGAGGACAATCCAGGAGATCTTTTTTCAGGAATGGTAATGTATTAAGTATAAAAATGATTCTATTTTCTGTAATGTGGGCAGTTTTACATCCACTGTTGATGTATTTTATACTTCTGTAACAGATCATACCTCCTTTTGGTCTTCCATAAGCAAGAAGTTACAAGCCTGCAAACATACACACTGCAGAATGTTGTATATAAATGCACAAGCAGTTCACAGACTGCCAAGCATGGACGGTTCATTCTTTTCAGCATTTTAATACAACTTTCAAGGATTCTGTTCACTTGGGTTTTGTCATTTTGTTTTCTCCTCCCATAGTGGATGCTAT